TCACATGACAGTCAAACCTAAGGATAGTTGTGATAGTTTTTCATAAGGGACTATACAATATTCCTTCCCCGACAGGTATATTCCATATACCCCCAGCTCCAGTAAGAACCGATTTCATGTTCTCTTCCCTGTAACTATCATTAGGGCTTCGTATGCTGGAGGTATTCCAAAAGATTCTCCTCCCTATAACAATCAGAAGGTCTTCGTATTGATGGGGGAATATTCCACATCTCCAAGGGCTACATTGTTCTTCATCTCATTCAGTCCTCAGGTCGTTTTGCTAAGGAACTATAAAATCTACATTTCTTGACGAGTATTTCATATACTTTCAGATACTGGGTGGCCTGGAGTACCCCAGCAACACATTCTATGCAATTCTGTGAAATTAGCTCGAGAATTTCTGTTACTGATCCGTATAAGCTCCTCTTAATATTTCGGAAGAAAGCTCAACACCGGAGTCTAGGGGGGAGGGGGAGTTGTTCTTTGCAAAGCTCCTCGGGATCAGTAATTCTGGCACTTTAATCGTAATTTTACTGAACTGTAATCCGTGTGAATACAATTTAGCAATACATTTTTGCATATTTCCTGTGAAGTTACAGCAATTAATATGCAAAAATACGTACATGAATGGATAACTCGTTGGACATTTATTTTACATACCTAATTTTCAAACTTGGCAGTTTTTCTATGACATGAATCCTGCGCGTATACATTTTATAAGCGTAATTTAAGGGATGAGACGTAACAAGCGAAACATTTGATATAATTAGTGCAAAACATTATTTAACTATTAATAGGCATATGTTGTTATTGTTTATTTCTCAATTTATTGCTAACTTAGAAGGGATTCGGTTGTGCACCTTCCGTGGAAGTGTCCCGCCTGCATACTTATTTGTAAACGGCCTTCCCCACAACTATTTCGGAATGTGTGCCATAGGGGACTAGTGCTAAGAATATTCGACTTGCAACTGGGCGGGTCGGGTTCGATCCCTTGCATGAAGTTTTTTTTTTTTTACAAAAACGCTTGCTACGGAGTCTACCATTTCCGAATATGCGTCCCGCCTGCCCCTCGCAATATACAGAATGTTACGTTTCGAAAACAGCGCCATCTTGGAAAAAAACTGTTACAAAGCGCGCAAATTTACCGTAAACGTCTTTGTAATTCCGGGTATAATGATGTAACACACTTTTTTGTAAACAATTTTACGTAACCTTTGATGCCACTCAACAATTAACGTCTAAATTTCGAACACAATAAGCACCAAAATAAGGCAGTACACAACAAAAAGAGATTGCTCATTAATACCAATTTATCGTTTAATTAAAATCAACAATCCCGCGGACGCACAATTTTTGATTTATATACTACCACCTCTTCCCATAGCAATAATGGTTTAATTGAGCCCACGCCATTTCCAAGTAAAATCGAACAATTAAATATAACAATTAATAAAATATAAAATAATTTATAATCACGGTGCGTCGTAATTACTTCGAAAAAGGAGACTCATTTTTTCCAGCAAAACGTGTGTGTAATAACATTATAAGTAAGCGCGCGAATAATGGAAAAAGAGGTCAAATTAGAAACTCGAAATGGGATGTGAATTTGTAGGTTTTGAATAAAATCGCTTTGCATATGGTGGTCACACCTAAATATGAGTAGAACAATAACTATCCGTCATTAATATTTATTATTACCTATACGAAATACTTTTTCGGCCAAATGCGAATGCGCTCCGTCATGTTGAACGCAACTATTATTATAATAAAATATAAGCACGTAACTTGAGGAAGAAGAAGAAGGAAAAAACAATTCAAATGGCCATCATCGTTATAATAAACAAAAGAATAATAAAACGTGAAAAACATTTTTAATGCAATTCGCAGTGCCGTAAACGATCGCGCGGGTAATTTCTACATTTAAATATTAAAAACGTGCGTGATTAATGGATCGCGGGCGCCATTTTCGCAGTGATTGATGATTTTTTTTCGAATTCGCTTCCAGTCGACGTGATTTTTCGAAAAAGTCGGCCGCACGCATCGAGGGACCGACGAGACAAAGGTCCGGTTTGTAAATTAAACAAGATGGAAATAAAGGGTGATAAAACCATTAAATCTAAAGCGAGGGGGTGAAGGGGGGAAGACACAAATGTAATATTTCAGACGAGCACTCGCGTCTTTTCATACTTTTCAAAGGGATAATTTTTATTTTAGGGGGTTTTAGTTTTTGTACACATATACTTTATGCACACATGTCTGATATGCAAATTTTAAATACGCGGCCAAACCCTTAGTGTATAAAATTTAAATATATGCGATCAAAGTCGGCCATTTCATTACTCCGCCACAATATCCGATTGTCAACCGCGCTAGAAACGCTGACCTACCGTGTATAAACAATACAATAAATCAGGTTTTTCGGACGACATATTCACGAAAATTACTTTCGGTTTGGCGTACATAAATTACGCGGACAATTAAGAATTTTTAAAAGCTCCACGCACGAAAATCCGCCAAAATGGAACGTTTGCGCTCGCCATTAGCGGGCTATCGCTAAACGAAAAACGAACGTTGCGCGAGCTAATTTAAATTTTCGTTGTTACCCGAAAGCAGTCCTGCGTGTCTGGGGAAAAAAAGCGCTAATGATACACTTCCTTAATCAATTACATCGCGGTATTAAAATCTCCGAAAAGTACTACGTGCCTAAATGTCTCATTTATCGGATTTTTCTTGAATAAAGTGCTATTTTGACGCGGTAAAAAGTCAATTTATATTAAAATCGCCCAAGAATACATATTCATGCATTTTTTTCCATACGAATTCCATGACGAGAAAATTAATATGGATTTGATTGGATTTACATTGGAATCGTCTAAACATCTTAATTTTCTGGTTTTTTTATTACTCCGTTACTATTTTGCACCGTGGATAGTTACATAAAGCCTTGAAATTAACATTTCCAAATGGTCAATAGCTACCGTTCTTAATTTAGGGAAGCTTGCCAGGTCACTTAATGAGCGTTGTATGGAAATGAAGCATCTCCGAGAAAACCTACTCCCTCCCGCTAAGAATTTTCACCTTCATCGCTGGTTGAACAAGCCGAAGAGTGGCAAGTTGATGAACTGACATTAAATGACCAATTTCTTGAAAGATCATGTGTCAAATTTGGTGTGGTGTAGACTCTAGAGAGACGTATGGACGCCAATAGCCAACATCTGACAGACAGACAGACACACATATATAGACTGGTTTAATTACCTGGTGCTTCGTAACAGATTTGTTACATGTACCCTAAGTTGCCACCAATATAGTCCCTTATGCAAAACTACCATTACTGTGTGTTTCGTGGGAGATCGTAGCACGGGGGGATATGGAATACCCCCCCCCTCCCCCCCAGTATACAAAGATCTTGTGATGTAAGGAAAATAAGATTGAAACGATATTCCCTGGGGATATTGATTTAATGCTCTCTCCCTACTACCACAAGATCTTCGTATTCTGAGGGGGGGGGAGTTCCATAACTCCCCGGTTCCACATTCTTCCCCAAAAGGTATAGCGCACATGCAATCTGAACCAATTTCGAAAAAAAATTCAAAGGGCTGTAAATTTTGATCTAGTAGTCCAATCTTGGAACTGTTTGAAATTATGGATTCTACGGGCCAAACTCTATAAGAAAATGTTTTTTCCCGGTCGATCTCAGACATTTTTTTTCTCCGGCCTCAAAAAAAGGCAGTGTATTACCTTCCTTTTTACCAAAAATTGACTGCTTCAAAATTTCTCGGGAAAACACTTTTTCTCATTAATTTTGGTCCGTAGAATCCAAAACGATTCGTACTTTTTCGATCAGGCCCCTCAATCAAAAGTTATGGACCAAATACAAATTTCGAATATATATATATATATATATATACATAAAGTTCAAAGGGCTGTAACTTTTGATCTAGTAGTCCAATCTTGGAACTGTTTGAAATTATGGATTCTACGGGCCAAACTCTATAAGAACATGTTTTTTCCCGGTCGATCTCAAACAATTTTTTTTTCCGGCCTCAAAAAAGGCAGTGTATTACCTTCCTTTTTTTACCAAAAATCGACTGCTCCAAAATTTCTCGGGAAAACACTTTTTCTCACTAATTTTGGTGCGTAGAATCCAAAACGATTCGTACTTTTTCGATCAGGCCCCCCAATCAAAAGTTATGGACTAATTACAAATTTCGACAAAAAGTTCAAGGGCTGTAACTTTTGATCTAGTAGTCCAATCTTGGAACTGTTTGAAATTATGGATTCTACGGGCCAAACTCTATAAGAAAATGTTTTTTTCCCGGTCGATCTCAGACAATTTTTTTTCCGGCCTCAAAAAAAGGCAGTGTATTACCTTCCTTTTTTACCAAAAATCGACTGCTCCAAAATTTCTCGGGAAAACACTTTTTCTCACTAATTTTGGTGCGTAGAATCCAAAACGATTCGTTCTTTTTCGATCAGGCCCCTCAATCAAAAGTTATGGATAATTAAATAAAAATTTCGACTATATATACATATATCATATACCATATATACCGTGATGGTCAGCATTTCGAGCATTTACGGCGGCATTAAAAGCTTCCTTTTTTAAATCGATCCACCTTAGGGCCACAAATTATATAATAAAAATAATTTCGAAAAAATTAGCTTAAAAAAATAAAATTTTGAGGGTAAAATTTTCTTTGCCATAAATTTAGGGTTAGGAATAAGATATCGAGATGCGGTTTTCGCGAACTTGTTTAGGCATCATTTAACTACTTTTTCATGAAAAAAAAAATCAAACCAACGCATTTAATTTTCATGAGAAAATTAACCATTTCTGTCGGAAGGTCGAAAAAAGCCCCCAAGCGGCGATATGTGAAACTAACAAAACTTCAAATATTAATATTTGTAACTTCTTTTCAATTAACCCGAGTTGTTAACATCGGCTCAGTCGTTTCGAAGATACAGGGTGTTCTTTACGGAAATTTCAAAATCCTTACTACGCATTTAAAAACTTTTATGTGTTTATGTTATGGACAGACAGACAACACCTTCTTATACAAAGTCACAACTAGCCACTATTTCTATCACACCATCCCTTAGCCACGGCCTGTTCTCATTGTCTTTCTATCGGGATACTCGACCTCGTAGCATTCTCCACCTTCAATAACCCAAGTGCTTCCGCTACTTCCCGTTTTTAGGATCTCCATGACCGATTCGGAGACGTCGGAAGCTCTGGAAATTAGTTTGTTTAATAACACACCCACGTTGTGACACTTACGACTGAGTTTGATAATGGGGCTGATATTTATCGAGTAGCTCTACAAGATCGGGATGCCACGCTTGCGAGATGGCATCTCGGATGGCGGATAAGTCATTCATGTCCGTGGTTGTATAGCCGGGACAAATCGTAATAATTCGCACTCGGTTGTAATCGTAGTAAACCGAATGTCCCAACGAGCGACCAAGGGAGTTGATGAACAACTTACTTGCGCTATAAATTGGAGGACCTATTGAAGTCGATGGTAGAGCCAGAATGGACGATACGTTTATGATTACGCCTCCTCGTCCTCCTCCATTTTTGCCCAAATACTTGAAACCCAGCAGAGTTCCCTGAAGCGTTCCTGCCTGTTAAACAATATAAAGCCGTGTTTCCTCCAAGTTCTGGCACTCACGATGTTTATACCGATTAAAGATTTCCAGTCGTTCTCATTAATTACTCCAGCGTTGTTGACAACAATATCCAAGCCTCTCCAATGGAGTGCCGAAATCTCGAACGCATCTGTAACAGGGAGTCAACTCCGAGCGTTTAAAAAAAATCGTGTTACTCTCGAGCTGATCTTCATCGCTCACATCCGCCGGAATGAAGATCGCCCTCCCGTAACCGAACTCCCTGTTGAGTAACTTGGCCGCTCCTCTTCCCTTTTCGACGTTGAGACTCACCAAAGTTACTCCCTACAAACAGTTTTCTTGAGGTTTCTTGAAAGGGCGCATACTCACCCGAACTCCGTTACTCAAAAGATGGCGCGCAATTTCAAAACCGATACCCCGCGAACCTCCCGTTACTAAAGCCGTTGTGCCATTCAGCTCGTACGTTTTCGTAACGTAAATGGGGAACGCGAGTAAAATCCATGAGGTAAAAAAATGTCGCGTGCTCATACTGTTGTGATAAACATCAAATCCAGTTTGAAGGTTTTTTATATCCATAACAGAACATAAACAGGAAATCCTTGATTTGCAATTGAGTATTTCATTGTAACTTTTGAGTTCCCACACTTTTATTTTTTTTTTTAATTTGCCTCAACGCTCCTGACATCAGTCAAAGGTGTAGAATGTATCATAATTTTTAGGAAGATTTTGTTTTCTTCATGAAAAACCATAAGAGTCCTTAGGCCTGAACGTTTTGAGGAATAATGTTCCACTGGGGGATATGGAATCATGAAAGCCTTAGGAAGGTAATATAGAATACTACCATATGCAGTTGTGAGTTGTGTTTCTTTTGGCAGAACTGGCGATTCCCTTTGTGCAATCCTTTGCGGCATGGTTGGGATTGAAGCAATTGATGCACGGTGAATGATTCTATCACATGGGCAATTCTGGTGTCGATCAAAATGTTCAAGAAATTAGCACTTTGTAGTGGTCAATGGCGACGAGACTAACACTCCGCGGCACCTCCACTCCCAGCACCCCGTCGTAAGCTATGTTCCACAGGAGTGGACCAAGTACTTACCCTTGTGGGACCCCGCACTTAAAGAAAAAAGAATGGAGCACCCGGGGTCTGGGGGGTACCTATTCTAAGGCCCCCCCCCCAGCGCCTCGAAGATATTATTCGAATGTTTTTTTCCTGGGGGGTATTCCCAGACCCCCCGATTGTACAGGGTGACCAACTAAGAATGCGAGGTACTGTCTCTGAGAATCTATTCATCGTAGAGGCTTGCGGTAAAAAAAATTTATTACTAAAACGGCCACGAGAAAAACCTGGAAAATATTTTTAAGTTTCTGAAATGACCGCTAGGGGGCGTAACTGCAATCTGGAATCTAAAAAAGTGATGTTTCTGTGAATTCCGCTATATTAACCTAACAAAAAAATACCCGGTCTTTGAAGTCGACGATAATCTGAACAATTTTTGTTTGACAATTTTTTTGTATCTCTCAAAATGAAGCGGTGGGAGGTATTCAAAGGTTTCCGTAGAGAACACCCTGTGTCTTCGAAACGGCTGGGCCGATTTAAACAAACTCGGGTTAGTTCAAGAGAGCTATTCTTCAGCTACAAATATTATACTATTTGAAGTTTTGTTAGTTTCACATATCACCGCTTGAGGGCTTTTTTCGACGTTCCGACAGAAATGGTTAATTTTGTCAAAAAAATTAAATGCATTGGTTAGATTTTTTTTCATGAAAAAGTAGCTAAATGATGCCTAAACAAACTCGCGAAAACAGCATCTCGATATCTTGAGATATATATATATATATATTTTTATATCGTGATGGCCAGCATTTCGAGCATTTACGGCGGCATTAAAAGCTTCCTTTTTTAAATCGATCCACCTTAGGGCCACAAATTATATAATAAAAATAATTCCGGAAAAATTATCTTAAAAAAATAAAATTTTGAGGGTATAAAATTTTCTTTGGCCTAAATTTTAGGTTAGGAACAAGATATCGAGATGCGGTTTTCGCGAGCTTGTTTAGGCATCATTTAGCTACTTTTTCATGAAAAAAAAATCGAACCAGTGCATTTAATTTTTTTGAGAAAATTAACCATTTCTGGCGGAATGTCGAAAAAAGCCCTCAAGCGGCGATATGTGAAACTAACAAAACTTCAAATATTATAATATTTGTAGCCGAAGAATAACTCTTTTCAATTAACCCGAGTTTGTTAAAATCGGCTCAGTCGTTTCGAAGATACAGGGTGTTCTTTACGGAAACCATTGAATACCCCCCACCACTTCATTTTTAGAGATACAGGAAAAATTGTCAAACAAAAAAGGTTCATATTATCGTCGTCTTCAAAGACCGGGTATTTTTTGTTAGGTTAATATAGCGGAATTCACAGGAACATCACTTTTTTTGATTCCAGATTGCAGTTACGCCCCCTAGCGGCCATTTCAGAAACTTAAAAATATTTTCCAAGTTTTCCTCGTGGCCGTTTTAGTAATAATTTTTTTTCCCGCAAGCCTCTACGATGGACAGGTTCCCAGATACAGTATCTCGCATTCTTATTTGGCCACCCTGTACATTCTTCTCCGAAATATTTAGAGCTTGTAAGAAAGATCCTTTTGTCTCCATGAAACACTAACAGCGTCCTTTTACCTGCACGTTTTGAGGAAGAATGGAGCAACCGGGGTCTGGGGGGTATTCCAATACCTCCCAGGAAGATCTTATCCGAATCTCCATACCGCCCAGATCCCCTGGTTGTACGTTCTTCCCCGAATTATTTAGTGCTTTTGGCACTTGTATCATAATTGCTGGAAAGATTGTTTTCTTTATGAAACACTAACAGTACACGCTCTTCAACCGTCGCGAAACCGAGTGCCTCGTTTTTACGTTGATTCCAGTATTTAAAGGACGCCATTACATCATAATCTCCTTTAACAAAATTTCAAAAACCCCTTCAATCAACATTTGCTTAGATAAACGCTAACCACGACGGAACGCGCCAAACTTCCCCACCTCTCCACATGAAACGCGCAACTTCATCATCAGTACCAGATGTGTATTTTTTTTGCCTGATAAACACTCCTTATCGCAGTCGAATAAATAAAAACCTTTTATAAAACACGCAAATTTGATCAGAAGGGTTTTATTTAAAGCAACTTATCGAAATTGAACGAACTAAAAGTGAAAAAAATTAAAACAAGAACTACGCAATTACAAATAATTCTAAAAGGAAAAAACAAACACTGAAATACAAATTCAAGTGACACGAACTAACAAACACAATGTTAATTTCAATTTGAACCCAATGTGATTTTGTTTAAGAATTATTTAATGCTGTTAATTTTGTTTAAATAATCACTGGCATTCGTTTATTTAATTGCATAGAAATTACGCTTATTCTTTTGCAAAAAGTGTTATCTCCGGTCGTTGCGATAAGAAGTTTCGTTATCGCTGCGTGAGCTAATTAAGTTTGCGTATAAGAGGGTTTCGCCGATACGGGGAGGCGGACGTTGCTTCTTTGTGGTGGTGGCTTTTAGCGTATCGCAGTCGGCGGTAGTAGAGCGTACTTTAGTTACAAGACAGTTGAACAGTTGTAAAGGTGAACGTTAATTCGAGTCGAGCTGAAGCGTTTGTTGACCGGGTAGTTAATTACGTTTTCTTTAATTGTTTCAATCGATCGCTTGTCGCGGGGTATGTCTATTCTGGCCTGTTTTTCTTTCAGCTTATTTGATTGATTTTGTCTCAGAAATTTGTCCTATGTTGTAGTTAATCGAGCCCAAATTACAACCTAGATAAGGGTTTCCATTCGAAATTTTTCTGTTGGAACCCGGGCGTTTAATTAGAAAGGTGTTATATAATTCTTTGGAATGAAATGACATTTTGCGCTTCAGTGTCAAAAATGATTTAAACCAGAAAATACACAGCCGTTGACTTTCTCAAAGAATTTGTTTTTTCTGAGATCTTAAATGCGATTTTTGCGCCTTTGAAATGAAATCGCTTCAGTGTCAAAAAAAATTTACAGCAAAAAATACACGGCCATTGATTTTCTCAAACATTTGTTCCTGTCGTAGATCTTAAATGCGATTTATTCGTCATTGAAAACTCCTAGAAAAATATTTTGAGGGTTGGCAATAATTTTTTTACTATTTCCAAACAATGTGTTCTAAAGAGATTTCAGGGTTTCAAATTTTCAATAATTTTTTTCTGGGTGTCAAATTTTTAATAATTTCATAGACGTTTTTAGAGAGATTTTTCAGGTCTTTGAATTGAGGAATGTTCATAAGACAATTTTGGATGTCAGTCAATTCGTGTTAGATTGTTTAAATTTAATGTACAGGGTGAACATTTTGTCTGGAACACTGGATAATATCTTCAAAACAAGATTTTTTAAAGATCCTCCAAAATTGTAAAAAGTTTACTATCAATCAATTGCGTGCTGGTGACCATGATTAAGTACGCCACTGACCACAAAGTGAAAGTACGTAGATCTTGTTCAATTACTCTTCGACGGTGTGGGGAACAGTCTTAAATTGGCACGAGTGACGGTGTACCCCAAAATCTTTTGTGTCACCTCCGAGATTGAACAGTCAGTATTGGTTTTGAAAAAGTGAAGAATTAGAAAGGAACATCGGATGAGAATTGCCGCACCCTGTAACAGTGGTTCATCGGCGATTAACTAAATGATTGATTATTACATATTTAAGAATGTGAGATTCGTAATTATCCAGTGATCTAAAAGTTTCATTACGTAAGTGCAGAATGAGAACGTCGAAAATATCAAAACGCCCTTCTGTACTCGTATTCCGTGAAACCTTCATAATTTCCCCTCTCAAATGTTAGTCGAGATATAAAAAAAAGGAGAAGCGACACGAATGGAAAATGCGATAATGACCCCCTGAAACGGCTTAATCAAAAAAACCTCAGTTTCGAATACGGTCAGAAATGGAACTTCGAAGTTAATAAGAAAGGTCGGTTTTTGTTGTATTTCGAATACATTGCTTTGTCAATATTTAGTCGTGGCATTAAGTAGCGGACGCTAATTGGGAGCGTACATTTTGGATAAAGCACGAAGACCTTTATCAGGGGTTGTTTGATCAATAATGACATCTAATCCGTAATTTATTCCTAATTTATCGTTCGTGTTTTGTAATGTTTCGTTTTGTTTTGTCATTCTGCTCATTCTTACGGAATTAGCAATGGAAAGAATTCCTCTCTCTTTTTTCAGCGAGAATATTACCCCCTCTCCTAGAGGCAGTCTTGGTTTTTTTTAGTATAAGGCACAAATTGGCCGAAATGAAGCACTAATAGCTTTTTATCATTACATTGGGAGTGTGGGTAAATCAGGCACTCTCCGCTATCTTGGATTTTGGACCAAGGTCTGGCTCTGGAATTTCCCCGGGTTTTGCTCGTGGCTTTGGCGAGGGGGATTCCTCCGATTACATCACTTGGATTTTCCCGGTATGGTGCACGAGATTTTCTTCCAGAATTTTTGTATCAGGAGAAACTGCCAGGGGA